AAGTTCTATAACATGAGCAATTACACCAAAGCATACGAACACCAAACGTGAAAGCACCACAAAAATACCTGAGGTATAATCATAGAGAGATTTTTCTTCGTCATATCCGTAGCCATGTTAGGGTCAGAGAACATTTGAGCTTGAGCATTTTGAGCCTACTCCTTGGGGACAAACAGTAATCCATTTTCCTACAAAGTGCCTTAAAATTAGCTTTAGTTTATTCCTCTCTGAGAAGGAAACGAACTTACAATTGGTGGATTCTTTTCATCAATTTGAACTGATTTTAACAAAGCTATCCATAGCCTATTGATTAGTAGCAATCCCAACAAAATAATAATTCATCTACGGCTAATGAGCAATCGGCTAACATCACAATAAGCTCTAAACAAAAGAAGAAGAAAAATAACAAAGTTAAAAAAAGGCAATTACTAGTAATAATTGTGGTCACAAGTGTTATAAAAGAAGAAGAAGAAGAAGGCAATCCTCATTGCTGAAATAAACCCTAAGTGAGCGGAAGAACTAGGGAGGGATAAAATTAGCAGCAGCTCCCAAATTCCGAGCCCGAACAATTACTTGCCTGGAAATATAAATTCGGGAATTGATGAACCTGAGACCTATTTATCTTTTCCGAATTTTCGTTATAAAAAAGAAAAAAAGAAGAAGAAGAGGTGGGAGAGAAATACCCCTCTTTGACGATCTTAGGATCAGGAAGTTGAGAGGAGCGCATAAGCTTAGAAACGAAATAGCGGAGGATGCCAATGAGAACCATCACCTCACCACCGATAGGGGTATCAGCACCCAATCTCTGATAGCCGTATCCAGCACCAGATCTTCCGCCATCACGACTACTTCCTCCTACGACGAGAACAAGAGTTCCACTTATTTTTGTCCCTGTGCTTCTTTACATGTATCCAATTGTTTGAACCTTCTATTAAAATAATATTTTTGTTTACAAGGGTAACATTATACAAAAGGTTACTAAAGTATTAGTAACTTTGAAAAACCGATATAGACTCGAGAGGTTTTTCTTTGAAAAGCGTTTCGAAATGTGAGGAGTCGCTACCAATCATTTAAGGTGTGATTGGAACACCATAAAAACTGGGTAATTTTCATAAAATATTTTATTTTTATCAAAATATCAAGTTTAAGGTCTAAGAAAATCCATAAATCATGTTCGGCAGTCAGTTACGCTTTGAGAATGATTAACACCCCTACAAGCACCTAAAAATTGGTACCTAGTTGATTACCCTATATTTAAAATTAAAAATTTTGAGTTCAATCTTTATTTAATTTAAAAAGCATTACAGATGCAAAAGTTGAAAAGGGTATTCATTTATTGAGACCGATAACATTCGCCCCCTAGCATAAACGCGGGAGATCAACTATTGTGTCTAATAACTGAATATTGTCTCGTTTTTAGAAAATCATGATACAATCTTGAAAAGGTATCGACTTATTTAGGGAATTACCTGTACTCACCCCCTGAGCATACTTACGGAAGATGTACAATTAATTCCCTAATAAGTGAACATTGTCTTAAGTTTAAAAATAATGCAATTAAACAAATTTTTATTTAATCCTAATTAAGCTAAGGTAAATTAAGGTTTTTTCTAACTTAAGATGTCAAATTATAAAATTAAAGGAACCTAGAAACTCAAACCTAAAAATATAGGCTCTAATATTAATCCTATTTGATTTTAATAAATTATCGAATCGAATAATCAAGATGGTCCCTCGAGCATTTAGGCGAGAGTTAACTCGAATTATTTCCTAAATTTAAAGGACTAGATTGAAATCTAACCTAAAGTAGAGGTTCTATTTAACCTATTTAATTATGTCAAAATTAAAGCACTAATCGAAGTTTGGGGACTAAAAAGTTAAAATCTAAAAATATCGATCTCTAAAAGATCTAAAAGCTTAGGCCCTAAATTAATAATTTCTAAAGTTGAAGACTAATTAAAAATCTAATTTTTATCTAAATTATTAAACCTAAAGTATTTTTAGAAAATATTAATTTTTAATAAATTTTAAAAGTCGAGCAATCGATTCGAGTAATCGGGTATCTTATGCAAAAACTCGACTCGAATTACTCCCTAATTAATAACTACAGTGTTGTCCTAATTTCTAAGCTTGATTCGAATATTAGTCTAATTTAAAACTAAGTTTAAGAATTAAATTATGAAATTAAATTAATAATAAAACTTAATTGAAATTAAAAAATAGCATAGAAATAAAAAACTGTATAAAAATAAAAACATAAAATAAACATAAATTAAAGGACCTAATTGCATAAATATAAAATAACAACGACTAAAATGCAAGAAAATAAAAGTTAATAACTAAATATGAAATAAATAGTGATTACAATGCAAAAAATAAAATAACAGTAGCTAAATCAGAATTAAAAGTGACTAACATGAATAAATTGAAAATATCACATCTAAATCATAATAAAATAAGAAGCAGAGTCCAAACTGTGGCTAAAATGACATAAAACAATAGTGACTAAATTATAATAAATCAGAATAATAATAGTGATTAAATTATAATAAATCAGAATAATAATAGTGATTAAATTAAAATAAAATAAAACATAATGACAAAAGTGCAATAAATTAGAAATAAAAGGTCCAGCGACTAAAATGCAACAAATAATAAAACAGAAGCTAAATTATAACGAAAATAATGATCAAATCGAAAGTTAATAAAATTAATATGCATATTCGAAATAAATAACAAAGTAAATGACCATAGTGCAAAAGAAGATAAACGACGGGGGGCTTAAAGATGATTTTACCCTGAAAGTGAGCAAAATGCAAGACTCGCTAAACTCGGGAGGACCTGAAATAAAATTTGACCCTAAAATTAGGTGGACAAAGCAAAAATTAGAATCTGGGGATCTGGTGCGTGATTTACCCTTTTTATAAAACAGAAAATTTTTCCCTCCCTTTTACGTAAACAGCCGATGAGCATCCTAAGCTTCCATAACTCACCTCGGCCACCGTTCACCGGCCCCCACACGCCGGCCACCGGGCCGGTGATCAACCTACACCCACCGGCGACCTTTACCACGACGGAGGAGGACCGGCCAAGCCCCTTGAACTGCCGGCAAACCTCCTCGTCATCTTCCTCTCTCACCCCATTCGGCGGCCTCAAAGTCGAGCCTCGACGACTGTCACCACCCCATGCTCCGACCGGCGACCGAGCCAGCCGAGGGAGGCTAAACGAAGGTCGAAATGGCCAAACTCTTCTCGCTCTCATTGCTCTCTTGACTAAAGCCCCCACCAAGGACTCCCACGAGCTCACTTCCGGCCACCTCAGCCGGCCAGCTAGGCCACGAACCGGCGTCTCTCACACGCCGGCCACCGCTCAATGGTGGCCACACCACCTGCAACCCATGAACCCACGAAAACCAAAAGCAAAAAGAATGAAAAAGGAAAGAAAAGAAAGCTAAAAATGCAGAGAAAAACAAAGTTCAAGAAATCTGTTTTCATTCCCAAATTTTTGGGGAAGAGGGGAAAAGGGGGTATTTTAGCTCGGTTGGTTTTGGGTCCGGGTTTCTATTGTTGGGACTGAGTTATTTGGGCATTTTGGGTCTGGTTTAAAAATGCTTACAGTATCATTTAGACATATCCATGTCATTAACTTTTCATTCTTAATCCAATTTGTATTAATGAGTAAGACGAGTATGTCACGTTCTACGATCACACCTGAACATTATTAACGATAATCACCGTTAAACATCATTAATTTAATTTATAAAAATTTAAAATGCTAAATGACTCGATGTATAATTTTAAATTAGTTAAAAATTTAAAGATAAATTATTTAAAATAAGATATTAATTATATTAGTTTTCATAATCATTTACTAACAATAAAAAAATTATAATTTACCTTTTAAAAATTATTTAAAAAGATTTAAAAATAATTAATATTTTTATTTTAAATTTTTATAAATTAAATTAATGATGTTTAACGGTGCTCGTAGAGTATTGTAAAAATTTTCTATAAAATATTTCTAATAATGTCTTTGAAATTAAAAAATAATTTTAAGGTTAAAATAAAATACAAATGCTAAAAGAAAGCAATATCAGTTATTCAAATATATGAGCAATTGGTTTATTGGGCAGTTATTAAAATTTCTTTGTTTCATGGTGGTGGTGACCACCACCCTGTCATTTTTTATCGTATTTTAATAATAATTTCCCTTGACTCTTGTTATAGTAAAGGATATTATGATTATTGGTGTTTTAACTCTTGGTGTAGATTTTTTATTGGTCATCTTCTCTGTTAAGGGGAGATCGTTTTTCCGTTGGTCATTTTGGTTTTTCTTTAAATTTCTCTCTTCCATGTTTTGATGCTCGAAGTTGTTAGTGTGTTCAATTTATGTACGACGTTGCTCCACTTGCTAATTATTTTGTTTATTATGCTATCACTAAGCAATCATTATTTTTGCTCCATTTGTTAATGATTTTGTTTATCAGACTATCACTAAGCGGTCATTGTTGTATTTTATTTTCGATAGTCTTGATTGTATTTGTTAAATCTATAATTGGCAAGACATTTGTTGATACAACTTTCGATAAATGAAATATCTTAGTTATTTTAATATATATATATATATATATATGATCAATTATTTAATGGACAACACCCTATAAAGTTCCTCCTAAAATAATCCAAAATTGATTTAACAATATTTTCAGGTGAAACAGCAAATAAATATAATGTTAAGAAAATATTATAAAAATTGATTCGACCTATTTAATAAATACTTGCACTCAACTCAAATAGCAGATGAGGACAGTGAATCCCAAAATTATGGCGCAATTTCTAAACCCAAACCATCACGGGTCATCGTTCTCGAGCCGAACCCATCACCTAACGGCCTCCCGCGATGAAATTGTTGATCTTATTGGAGCTCTCTGCCTCAGAATCTCGAATGCGATGCCAGATATTCTCATATGAACATGGAGAGGTAGCATCAGAATTCCACACTGTCATCAATCTATATCTTTCCCCCCCCCCCTTATTTTATTCCGGCCATTTCATGTTTGATTGCAAAGAATGGACTAAATCTTTTGGATAGGTTGGTTACAACTCACAAGTTTATGATTTTATAGCCGATTGTTTGTTATTAGAATTGGCATTGACAGCCCTAGATATTGAAAACAATCAACTAGTATGATTCAAAGAATTTGTCCATTTACTCTAATTCTTATTCACTGTTCAAGTACTTTGTACATATATTTTTACTGGTTCAAGATTTGGTCGGTCCAATATTTTCGAATTCTTCTTAACCTGTCAATAATATATACATTCTTTCTGTACATAATTGCTCAAATCATAAATCTTTAAAGAAATATTCCAAATCCATTCGATAAATTCTCTTATAATATATTAATATGTTAAAAAGGAAGAAGCATTTTGAGAAAAAAAGGGTGACAACGGCAGGTTTAAAAATTTAAAAATAGGGTCCAAATTTTTAATGATTTTTTTAAAAACAAAAATGGATATGCAAATCTTTTTATTTTTCTCTTTAATGATAATTGGGTTTCAGTAGTAGTACCCAGAAACACCTTTCTAATTTTGTGTAAATTAATGAATGAGTTAAAAGTTGATAGGTTATTAAGAAGTTTTGTTTCTTTTCTTTGTCACGGACTACTGGTAGATGAGGTATATTAATGTCTTCACCTGCTAAAGTTTCATCTTTAGGGAAGCAGGGAGTCAGCTGGAGAGCTCAAAAATCTGTTACTCATCGGGAAAATTGTCGTATCACATCTAAGTAAGTTAGTTGTTGATTATATGTATTATGAGGACAGAAAGAGATGGAAGCAACGTGCAGGAAGCATTTGTTTTGCTCACGTCCGGTTCCAGAGGTAGGCTTCTCAATCAATACAAACCAGCTAATCACTAATCAATTATAAAATTGAGTATTTTCTGTAACTATGCATAATTGATTCAACTGATGATGGTTTATCCACGAATCAGGCTATCATTATTATTAATATTATTTGCATAATAATCAGGCTATATTAAAATCACGACATGCAGGGATTTCTATTTTCGTGTAATCCTTCTGCGTGTCCTTCCAGTCAATATTGGAATTATTACATTTATCCACAAGTTGAAATGGAGATATGAGATTAAGACTTGACGATTGGAAGTACTAAAGTTTGAAAAAGAAGGATAAACTACATGGAGACCAATGCCTCCTTCCACAAAGGGTTCATAGCAGTCAGCATAGGCTATATGATAGACGTAAAACCCTGTCATTGCCAATTCTAATCGCATCTTTTCTAATCATTTACATGTCTCTGAGAAAAGGTCAAAAGCCATATATTATTAAACAAAGGGTCGACGCAATCTAGGCTGTAATGCTGTTATCTCTGCCATCTACTAACTTTGTCCGGTTAAATAATAAATTTTTAGAATCCAAAAACCCGTCCTCTAATCGTGGTCTTCGTGGAAGCTAACTGCAGGAGTGGCCTTCACGATCTGTCCACTTCTTTCTCTTTCTTTCTTTCATTTCATGAGTATGCATATTTTCGGATGGCTACACGACTCTTCCTCGAGTGTTTTGAACTTTCCCTCGACGAACCCCCCATATCTCTTCTCTTTTTCTTTTTTCTTGGCGTCTTTTCTTGTTTGAAGGGTTATCCCATTCTTTCCTTGGTATTTGGTTTTTGTTTACCTTTCTGGGATTCTTTGACCCATATTTTAATACTATAATTATAATTTTGTTTTGTTTTGAATTGGGGTTCCCTCATCTTTTGTTGTTTTCTTCTGAGATTCTTCCTAGACCCTAGTGTTTTTTTGGCTTTTCTGTTCTGTTCTTTTGCGCTTTGGGCAAACTCTGTTAGTTTTTGTACTAGTAGTGTTATATATATATATTCTTGGTGAGGGATTTTTTTTTGCACTCTTTTCTCTTTGTACCTGTTTGATGGGCAGTTGATGTCTTAGGCAGTTGGTGAGGATCCGAGTTCCAAGAGCATGGGGTTTGACAAAGACGGAGCTGTTGTTGACAGTGAAGCTTCAGAGACAAAAACAACATCAAAGATGCCTGCAAACGGTGAAGGACAACACCATGGATTCAGTATAAAAGCTAGCGAGACTTGCCTTTGTCCAACTGAAGGCGATGATGATGATGATGATGATGATGAAGATGAAGAGAGGGAGATTGAGTTGGGCCCTAAGTGCACCCTTAAAGAACAACTCGAAAAGGATAAGGTTGGCTTCCTTCATATTTCAGTTCCAATTCTTTTTCCCATCGTCTTTTAGTGCTTATTATCTTTCTTTTCTTTAAATTTGAGGGTTCAGGATGACGAGAGCTTAAGAAGGTGGAAGGAACAACTTCTTGGGCTGTTGATTTCGAGTCCGTTGGAGGTTTGATTTCTCTTACTACATCTCTCTCAGTAGTTTCCGTTTTCTGCTGTTTCTTTCTTGTTTCACCTCCCAAGCAATGTGTATGCATTTCTCCACCTGCAAACCCGTAGAAGTCTAGGAAAAAGAAAAGAAGGTTGCCCTTTCTTTGCGTCCTGACATTTGCTTCAATTGTTTATGATTGTACAGAAAAGCTGGAACCTGATGTTAAGATCCTGAGCCTTGCAATCAAATCGCCCGGTAGGCCTGATATGGTACTTACAATTCCGGAGAACGGTAAGCCTAAAGGTTCGTGGTTTACCTTAAAAGAAGGAAGCAAATACTGCCTGAAATTCACTTTCCAAGTGAGCAACAACATTGTATCTAGACTCAAGTACACTAACATGGTTTGGAAAACTAGTGTCAAGGGTAATTCCTTTTTTTTCTTTCTCGGTTATTCATATGAAAGAATTATATTATTTTCTATGAACTTTAGATTGATGTTCTTCTCCATGAATTATTGTACCAGTCGATAGCACGAAAGAGATGATAGGGACCTTCAGCCCCCAGACAGAGCCTTACACACATGAAATATCTGAAGAAACAACTCCATCTGGGATGTTTGCTAGAGGATCTTATTCAGCTAGAAGTAAGGTAAAATAAACAAAAATTCTTTTCTTTGTTATCTGTTATACACCATGATTGCACAAAATGGTTTAAGCTGCTGCTAGCATGAATCTTGTTTGCTGTTTTTTATTTTATTATCACAAGCTTGTGACTTTCTTGTCAGATGGGTGTCAAAATTGTGTAGGTCATGCACTCATCTGTTTGAAAACCAAAAATACCAAATCACTATTTTGAATTAAATTTTCACCAACAGGCAAGAACCCATATTGATAGTGTCACCATCCAGAGTAATGGACCTTAACAATGGTTTCAGTTCTTGAGCAATGCTATGTACAAGAATTAATACACTAATAAAGATCTCATTAATGAGTTGTCAGGATCCATGTGAAACAGGCTTTTAGGATTCAAATTTGTGGGTCATCTCATGTAGTAGACAATAGACATCAAACCACAGTTGAAATTTTGTACAATCTTGAGGCCTTACTGATTTTTGTTTTCATTACTCTTTTTTCTCTGCTTGCAGTTTGTTGACGACGACAACAAGTGCTACTTGAAGATCAACTACAGTTTCGACGTCCATAAAGAATGGCAATCGTAGACGACATACGAATGAATCATTTACAGTTAAATCGGTTTGCTCGTGTCCTTTGTTTGTCAAGTCTCCTTTAGATGTAACTATTTGCCACCCATATCATGTGTGAGTGAGAATAGGAATCATCACAATGAAAAAGAGTTAATCAAAAAGCTTCCTGTTTTACCTGAATCCGAGTTGTAGTTAGACAGTAATTTCTTTAGGAATGGATTAATAAAACCTTCCTTCATGTGATCCGCGATGCAAATCTTGCATTGTGATAAGCTTCATATATCTTCCATTTGGATATTTCAAACTTGAAAATAATGACGAAAAATTTCAGATATCTTTCAAATAAAGGGTCTTTCTTCTATCGTTGAGCAACAAACAAATAATGGCCTACTTCCAAAAAGGTTTGTCATTTGTACTGCTCTTCTTTGATGGAAAGAGTCTCCCAAATCAATTCTCTTTCCGATCATGGACACTTGCAGCAAACAAAAAAGATTCTTAGCACCCAATGTAATTGGTTCGGAATTTTTTAATGCTGAAAGCATAACAGAAACTAGAATTCTAAGGGCACGTATTAGAGGTAATCTTAGTAACTTGGATTTCACCTCCTTCCCACACCTTGCCTGTCTAAATCTATGTTCCAACATTCTCTCTGGTCCTATCCCACCCGTGCTGGACTCGCTTTCAAAGCTCACCCATCTCAATCTCTCCATTAACTATCTTTCTGGTTCTCTTCCTCTTTCATTAGCCAACCTCACTCGGATTTCACTGCTTTATGTGGACAATAACTTGATCAGGCTCAAATTACTTGAGCTCCATAACAACAATTTCACCTGTATGATTCCCCTCAGAGATTATCAACCTTGTTAATCTCGTGGAGCTAGTAATCATTTCCATGATTTGGTTCCATCAGATATAGGAACCATCAAAAACTTGGAAACTATCTGTCAGGTTCTACCCCTTCATCTCTTGGCAACCTGATCAAACTAACAATGTTTTATTTACACCAAAATGAATTTTCAGGAACCTTCCCGGTTCCCTCATGGTTAACTGTAGCTCGATTGCTTCTGCCGAAGAATCGGCGTTCGATGTCTTGTAACTCAAGGATTAGAAAACCTCACTTCTTTGAGAGAAGTGCATCAGAGTGAAAACAACTTATTACGCAATCCGGTGGTGGCAGAGTTAGCTTACACAGTGTAAGTGCAGTATCAGACCCTAGAGTAAGTGTAGTTCTCCTTCAAAAAGAATAAATAAAAGCTAATCTGCTAGCTGGATAAGTTAATTACTTATTAGGCAATCCTGGTTCCAGCAAACTATCAAGTGCTACAACTAAATTAACATTACGTATCCAGGAAAAAACTAAAATAACATTGTAGAAGCAAATCATAAATACATATAAACACAGAACTCGGACACCATTGCATCAGCTCTGTGAACTTCCAGCAAGATATCTTTTAAATTGACGACTGCCGAGTGGAACGTGCTCTTCTTTTATCTCCAAGCATAACAGTTTCCTCAATAGCGTGGTGGGACAACCTTACCAGCACAGGTTCCAAAACCAACATTGTAACCATCTCCCTGTATGCGATTTAAACAAAAATCAATTTTTCTGTTCCTGAGGTAAAAGATTATGGTAAACAATAAATGACCACGACATTATAAACTAGTGACGCCACATTCTATAAAGTAACTTTCCTTTTCCACATGGAATTGGAAAGAAATGATTTTAAATTGTCCTCATGGCTGGAACCTTGGATTCAAAGCCTGGCTCTACCATGCATCTGAATTCCCTAACTTTAAACCACATCACTGCTCAAACTTAAACAATAACACAGGACCACTAAAATATTATATGGTTCCATTCACCTGTTTAAGTTTCCTTTCAGGCCATCTTAAGCATATAAATTAATTGCACAATGAGGAGATAAATGAGTTACACAAATATGTTTGTAACTTTGGTCTTAAACCTCATGTCGAACGGATGCAGTACCTTGCAACAACCAGTGATGATTACTTCATCCCCATCTTCTAAGAATTTTCGAGTTGTCCCATTTAATTGCAATGGCTTTTGCCCATTCCATGTATGTTCCAGCATGCATCCAAAAGATTCAGGTTCCTGCTCAAAATACAAGAGGCTACGCTTTGAACAAACAATATCACTCATTGATAATTATCGCTTGAAGAACGAAAGAGTAAAATTTGATGCAGCATGACCAAATAATCAACCTATTGCAACTTGCATACCAGCAAAGATGATCAACACTATACCAGAAACCAGTCTCGATTATTTTTCACTTCATCCATGGCAATTCATAAATAAAAAAACTACTTGAATATTCAAGGAAAGATTCTATGTAGCACTCGAAATGACATGTTAACAGCATAATCATTCTATTCAGTGAAAACCCATTTCTTACTTCTCCGAAAACAAATCAATGTGATTCTTCCACCTCTGACTTCGCTTTAAAAGTAGTTGTAATATATAATTAAGACGATCGATTTAAATGAAGTTGTTGGCGATTGGCTAAAAAGAAAAGGTTCTCAGGGAAAGCACAAATGCAATATCCAAAGACCCACTTGGCTGTCTTCTTCAGTACATCAAACAGACACCAGAGGCTAGGGGTAGTAGACTAAGTTTGACAGATTTCTAATGCCTAAACTCAAACATGATTAGGGGTAGTAGACTAAGTTTGACAGATTTCTAATGCCTAAACTCAAACATGATTACTAGCACGTTATCGTGGGTGGATTGGTAGATAAATGCAAAGGGATAATGATATAAAAGTGAAAGGTAACGTGCTAAACATACAGGCCCACTAATGGTCCCAGTTCCAAGGAGATCGCCTGGCCTCAGGTTGCAACCGTTGATTGTATGGTGTGCTATTTGTTGACTTAATGTCCAATATCTGTTGAAAGAGTAAACAAAGCTCAGCAAATATTTGAAAAAGAAGCAAATTAGCATATTAAAGAAGTACAACAAGAGATTCAACATTTTCAAATTGCAGCAAAAATCAGTTTTTTCTATTGACATCAAACAAATATTGAATAGATGGGGGCAATTTGAATCTTAGATTCATATAGTTATATAGGAAAAACAGCAAGCATCTGAAAGGACTTTCAAAAGAAAAAGAGCACCAGTGAAGTGGAACTCCTTACAGGTTCTTGAAATTACTTCTTGTAACCACGCAAGAGTCCTTTTGTCCGGAAGGTTTAATTTGAACCTAGAAGCAAAAAACAAGTTCACCTTGGAAATTTTATAAAATTTAAGCATTTGTATTTCAATATCAGGAAAATAACTTTAAAGATGCATGGTACTGAAAACGCATTATATCAAACTTGGGAACATCCAAAAAAAATAACATAGAAGAAGAAAATCACTATTGAAGCATCAAAAATCCAGTGGTAAGATGGATGCTACCTCCAATTCAATATCATAGTTTTTGGATATCTTCTCAGCCAAATATGGCAATGGATGGGGATCCTGCAATGCAGAACATGCATTTTTAGTTGAACCACAACAGAAAGATAATTAGGGAAAAAAGATAGAAACGCAAATCGCTTTAAAATCTAAGACACCAAAGACAGAAACGTACCTGCTTAGGAGCATTACAAGCAAAAGGCTCAAGAGCATCTAATGTCACAATCCAAGGGGATATTGTAGTACCTAAAAGATGACAGTAATAGAGAAAATTCACGATTTAACAACCCGTGAAGAATCACTCAAGATAATATATGCCACATGCCCCATCATCATTAGCATACCTATTTTTTTAGCCCAGTGGAGCCCATGACTTCCCTGATCTATCTAATCAATTCTCACCAAAATTAAGATGGTTAAGAGATATCATTCCCTTACATTGGATTCTATTAGTTCCTAATTATCTTGTTCATTAATTTTGGCTATCCCTTTCAAAATAAGCTGTGGTTTTGTCACATGTGAGTTATCAGACATACTGGCTGAGCTTGAACTCAGAAGAAAAGCATGAATAAGATGTCTTACCAAAACTCTTTCCAAGAAAGGGTCCAAGAGGGACATATTCCCATGCTTGAATATCTCGAGCTTCCAAAACCAAAGGTATATTAAATAGGGAATTCAGAAAAAGAAGAAAATTGAGGATGATGACGCGAAGCAGCAATAGGCAATCATACCACTCCAGTCATTCATCAAGAGAAGTCCGAAGATATGATCTGCAGCCTCATTAACATCTATGGCTTTCCCTAATTCATTTCCCGGACCAACTACAGCAGCCTGAAGCATGGTAAGAACCTATGTCAGAGTATAATTTATGGCAAGGTAAAATGAGACAGAATGACAATAAACCAAAAGGCTGACCATTTCAAGTTCAAAATCTAGCTTCAATGAAGGTCCAAAATATGGTGGAGATTGACCAGTAGGAGGGCCTTGACCCCTATAAGAAAATAGAATTGAGCCAGTTAGCATCTACAGCCAAGTGGGCAGTTCTTTAAGTATCCCAGTGACTGATTTGCAAGCAACAACTAAACATTTTGACAGACCAAACACTTGAAGGTTAAAACATCTGGAACAAGTTATAGAACTTCTAACCTTGGTCTATTAATGTCCGTTCCAGAGATGACAATAGATGATGCTCGCCCATGATAGGCAATAGGAAGATGGAACCTGAATAGAGGCACAATAATCATGCTTCCAAGTAAAAGAAGGTATGATATACATTGCATTTCATTCAAACAAATTATCACTCTCCATTTGTTAAAACTTTCAAAACCAGCATACCAGTTTTGCGGAATAGCATTTTGAGGTCCGCGGAATATGGTCCCACAATTCTTTGCATGATGCATGGATGAAAAGAAGTCTGTATAGTCTCCAATTTCAATAGGAATGGTCAATTCTACCTGGCTCTAAAGATGCACAAATAAACTGAAACATTAAAAAATCTGAAAACAAACATCTTCCTTCAGATACCCTATAGAAATTCATGTTTATTCTTACCATCCGGACAAGTGACTTCTGCCTCAAGTTTGCATTATCACGCAAGGTTGGCTCTGTAGCTGCAAGTTCGGATAATTGTCAATTGTTCATTTCAGTTGAAAATTAATCGTGTTTTTGGACAACCAGAATACTGGAACTTAAATAGTATTTAGTATTGCTCATGCTATAGTTATAATCATCACCACTCCATCCTTGATTATGTACATGTTTAAACCCAAAAAAGAAAAAAAGGGAGAGGATAAAATCAACAAGTCATTAACATACATGACAACAGCTTTTGAAGAGTAGCACGAGCTTCCTTCCATGCAGGCCGTCCCAGCGCCAAAAACTTGTTCAGAGTAGGCTGGCACCACAATAACCAACCAAATTGAAACAAACTGATTTAGCTTAAAGTCCTTAAAATAAAACGAAACTTAATACAGAGATGAATTGTCTAGTAAACATTATCAACGATTCATAATCTTATTTCGCAACTAAATTAAGTGATTATAACGTAAATTAGGTTACAATGAAATTTTCAATTACCAAATTAATATAAGATACGTGTCTTCATAGAAAAAAAGTGAGATACGTGTCAAGGTGAAAGAAGTAGAAGCAATAAAAGAACCTGAAGGAAGCAGTCGGAAGCGGAGAGTACAGGGCCTTTGAAAAGACCGGATCTGGCGATCTCGGATAGATCCAACACATAGTCACCAATAGCGGTGGCAAGACGGGCTGGTGCAGTTGGTTGGGGCTTGAATGCTCCATACGGAAGATTTTGGATGGAGAAGTGGGAGTCTGGAAGGACTTGGATGAATGATTCCAGAGCCATGGATATGAAAAGAAACGGCGTGGGTCACCAATAGCGGTGGCAAGACGGGCTGGTGCAGTTGGTTGGGCTTGAATGCTCCATACGGAAGATTTTGGATGGAGAAGTGGGAGTCTGGAACTTGAATGCTCCATACGGAAGATTTTGGATGGAGAAGTGGGAGTCTGGAAGGACTTGGATGAATGATTCCAGAGCCATGGATATGAAAATGAAACGGCGTGGCAGAGAGGTGAGGCAAAGTGAAGCAGAAGCTGACTGGCAGAGACTGAGAGGAAAGGAGGACGAAGAGTATAAACAGGCTGAGCAGAAAATACCTTTCAAATCTCAGCGTTCGGTCCGGATAAATATAGCAAATAATTGCCACGTTCGATGATGTCAATGTATTTTAATTTTATTTAATTGATATATTTATTGATAATAAATTTAATATGAATAAAAAATTAATATAATATTATTTTAATTTTATTAAATTTTATGTTTAAATATTTAAATGGATAATTTTTTTTGGTACAGTATAAATGGATCATTTTAATATGATAAACAATTATTTTTTTAAAATTATTTTTGATACTATCATTAATAGTTAATAATATATTATAGATAATATTTTTAATATTATATTATTTTTATATTAATAGTTAATATGATAAACAATTATTTTTTTAATATTATTTTTGATACTATCATTAATAGTTAATAATATATCATAGACAATATTTTTAATATTGATTTAATAATATAATGAATAATAAAGGATATCTTTTACTACTCAATTTTTTTTGTTAGTTTCATAATTTAATCAATCTAAATTTCAAGATTTTGATAACCTAGATATGGACATTTCATATGCATGTTAACACACAATTAAATCCAATATAATTATCTTTTTAAAAATATTTTTTATAGAAATTTTTATTCAAGATTTTAATTTTAATCTTATTTTAAAATGAAAGTGTCCAATTACATAACAATAAATATTTAATATTTTTCATATCGATTAGGTTGTTAAGGATATACAAATCAAGTGACCTCTATGATGTTGTTATTCATTGAGGATCCAGGTTCGAGTACCATATATATTAGATATAACGGGTATGAGCGTTCAATATTAATAATTTACCATTATCTTTAAACAAATAATACTTTGTACGTATCCTAAATTAATAAAAAAATTTAAAGATTAAATATCTTTAACTAGGACATACATTTATCTATAATATAATTTTGAAAAGAATATCATCATATTCAGTTAATTCATTTTGAATTTAAGCGGAATTGTTCTTTCTCCTTTTTTTTTTGGTTTTTCCTTTTATTTTTTTAAATTGTTTGAGAAAATCTTTTAATGAAACTGTCAATTTATACTTTTTTGTAACTTTAAATCATTTTAAATTATAATAAAAAATTATTGTTAGTTTTTAAAATCACAAATTTAAAAATAAAAAATATTATGATTGTGAATATTTAATAATAAATGATTAAAAGTTTTTTTAATAAATTAATAAAAAATATTGTGTGTGGTTTATCTTAAACCACGCTTCCACGCTCTTATCATTTGGTCATCAGAAATGGAGTCGTTTTCTCAACCAAAACTAAAGACACAAGTATTCGACATACTGTATATAATAAAGGGTATAATTTATTATATTTGTAAAAAGATAACTTTACATCGTCAGCTATATGGTTTAATTGTTTTTAGCATGGTTATCAAAATTGGATTGGATCGGCCGGTTTAACTGTGAATTGGTGGCCTGTTCGGTCCGGTTACGTCACAAAATCGATCTGGCAATGAACCGACTGAAAATCGGGGTGAATCAACTGAAAACCGGCAAAATCGGTTTGAACCGCCGGTTCACTTTTTTTCTTTAAAAAAAATTAAACCAAACGACATCGTTTGTTCAACGAGTCAAGTCAAATTCGAGTATTGCTGAGCTCGACTCGAACTCGAAAACTTTAAAAGTAAGCTCAACTCGACTCAAAAACTCACGAGTTAAAAATTATCAAGTTCAACTCGAACTCGAAATATAATATTAAAATTTGAACTCGAAATGGCTCGAACTCAAAAAAAAATTAGCAGTTTGATTGAAGCCTAAAATTTAAGCTCAATTGAAGCGAAAGAATAGTTCACTCTATGCTCACCAAAAGGCTCCATGATTTTGAATGTCAAATTACCTCTATTATTTATAGAAGTAAGTTGAGATGCTCTTCTATGTTTCTTAGCCATGTGAGATTATTTTTTTTTAAAAATATTAAACCAAATGACATCATTTGTTATGAATTTTTTAAGCCCAAATTTTATTTTTTGATTATAGTTATATAATTATATTTATTATTTAATATGTTTTACCTTAAATATTATGTTGTAGTTGATTTGAACCATTTTGTTTTACTTGATTTTATGGTTTTTAATTTATATTTATGACTTATGATTTTTTATACCTTTTAATATTGTAAACTTAAAAAAATGTTACATATATATTAATATTACTTTGAATATTATGTAAAATTAAAAAAAATATTATTTTATATAAAATCCGGTTCAACCGCGGTTGAACTCGGTTGAACCAATGAACCAGTGAACCAGTACCTTTACCGTTTCAATGTTCGATCCGATTTTAAAAACATTAGTTTTTAGTACTTGTTTTTAGAGGTTTAATTTTTTAATATTTATTATTAGAAATTTATTCTTATAATTTATTTATTCTAATATTTTTATTAGTGTCCAAAATTTTGTCAATATTTTTTCTAATATTAGTTATTAAAAGTTTAATTTTTCAATACTTGTTATTATGGGTTGCATTTTTCAATATTTATTATTATGGATATATTGTTATGAGTTCATTTTTTCCTAATATTTATTTATTGCTACGAGTCCAATTTTTTTGTATTTTTTATTAGAGATCTAATTTTTTTAATATTTGTTATTATGAGAATACTCTTAAAATTTATTTATTTAATATTTGTTATTAGGGATTATTTTTTTCAACTTTTTATTATGGAGTTACCATTAAAATTATTTTTTTTAACATTTTCTATTACGTACAATTACTTAAATAATAATTTGTAACTGCAACAATGATTGTTATGCAATGGTAACGACATCGTCCAAAATTGTTATATCCACAATCGTTATATCCACAATAGTATATGTTATTAAAAAACCACAATCACAATATTTGCAATGATTGCAATATCATCTATTATGTTCATAATAGTGACAAACGTAACGAGATTGAACACAAAATGCAAATTATAATTTAAATATCTAATTAGGGCTTAATTTTTTTATGGTTCGCTCAGGGCCACCAAAATCTCATAAACGGACCTATATATGTTTATAGGAATATTAGTACCTGTTGTAACCGGTTTTCGCCCGGGCGTAAGTCAAATACCTAAAAACAATATTTTAAAATAGTTTTTTTTAAAAAAAAACATAATTTAAAAGATAAAATTGATTTGCGTATAACCAAAAGTTTTAGTAAAATAGGATTCGTGGTCGATTACGTTTAGGGAAGGATTAGCACCCATATAACGCCCAAAATTTGGTACTCATTAATTATAAATTGTCTCTATTATTAGAATTTTAATTATTCAAAAATATATTTAATTTATAATTTTGTCATTTCAAATTTATTATTTTATAAAAATATGTTAATTTAAATATAAATAAGATATTTATTTATTTAGAAATATCAGAAAAAGGCTTCTAAGTGCTTTAAGAAAACTCTTTTCTTCTATATTAAAAAATAAATAAATATTAATAAAATATTTCTTTAAAAATTAATATATTTTATAGGATAAAAAAATCAGAAAATGAACTTCTAGGTGTTTTAAGACAATCATTTTCACTAATATTATTAAAATAGGATTATTATTATTTTTTATAAAAATAATTTATAAAATATAAATAAATATATTTACTATATACATATATTAATAATAAATATATGCAAATAAAATTAAATCAAATACTAAAATAAATGAAATTATATATTTAAAACATAAAAGCAATAAAACTTGTAATAAATGAAAAATAATTAATGACTAAATTATAACATACTAAAATTAAATACCTAATTCATAATTAATTATTTAAAATTAAAGTGACTAAACATGCTATTTTCCTTATTTATTAAATTTAGTGACTAAATTAAAATTATATCAAATTAAAAGAAATCAAAACATGTTATTCGGGGTTTAAAATATTAATTAATAAAATTATGAGGGCTAAATCGATTATTTGCCTAAAATATATATATTATGCTAATTACTAAATTATGATTTAAATAAAATTAATAGAAAAAATTAAAAAGATCATAAATTTGATTCCAGTGACTATAATATAAAATTACAAAATTACTGGACTGCGTACGGGGTTTAACTTTTAATAAATTACAAATAGACCCCTCCCCAAAACGACGTCGTTCGGGGAGGGGTATTTAAGCCCCAAATCATACGACTTTAAGGTCAAAAATTCATTTCTCTTCTCTTTCCTTCTCTATCTTTCTGAGAGAGTTTTAAGCTCTCTCGCCTCTCTCTAGCTTCCATCACCGGAGGGAAGCTGGTCACCGGCCGGCAACCGTCTGCCACTGCCTTCCTCGGTGCCGGCCACCGATAACGGTGGTCAAAAAATTCTAAAATCTCTCAAAACATAGATCGGGATGATCTAAAATCGAATCCGACCCCCCTTTCCCACAAAACATCTCCTATTTACATAGATCTAAAAAAAATACCTTCGGCATTTTGCTTCTACGGCGGCCTATGAACTCCAGTGGCATTGCAGCTTCTTCGGTAAGGCTTCTCTCAATTTTTGTTTTGATTTTTTGATGGTTTGGTTGCTGTGTTCTCTGGCTTTTTTTTCTGTGCTCTCTGTTCTTTCTCTTGTTTGCAGGTGGTCGGCTTTTATAAGCCTCGCCGGTATCTTCTTCGGACTGGGTAAAAGATTGAAGCTTGGTGAGTCACCGAACTTCTAGTGGTGACTCACTGTTGAGGGCGACGTGCGCGGCTATGGCTAGGCCTTCTGGATCCTTCGGTTGGCGTCGTGGCAGAGTGGTAGCAGAGGTTGACGAACGACAGCCGCGTGGTCCCTAGGGTATCATCACCCTAGGGTTTGTTCTGGATGCGTGTGGGCCGTTGGATCTCTCAGATCCAACGGCTGTGATGTTGAGGCGGCTAGGGTATTGAAATGGAAACCTTAATTTGGTTTTAGGGTTAGCTGGGCCATCTGGATCTGGGTTACTGTTGGGCATGATGTATCTGGGTGGGGCTCGTAATGTATTTGGGCC